TACCTGAAGGAGAAGGGCTCTGTCTACTGTTCGTAGCCACATCACTAAATGTGCGGGTTCGAACGCTGCAACATCGCTGTTCTGTGCAATAAACTCGCCGAGGCCTCTCAGCAGCTCTGAAGTCGATGCTTGGATGACAGTTCGGCGCCTAGCTGACTAAAAAACAGCCCTAGAGTGAGTTTAGGAGAAATGGTGCATGGTCATATGACGCACATTAATATCGATGCTTACAGCTTTGGATGGTTTTTCCTCCGCACTCTTAGCAGCGTTCTTGCTATTGATAACTCGCTGAGCAGCAGTTACTCCATTCAAAGCTCTAAACTTTATGATTACACTTTTATTGGGCTCGATATGGATAAAGCAGTTTATTTAGCTCACCTTGTATGCGTTGGACTTAGGGGTGTTCGTGCCGGTGGACCTTCGGGACTCACCAAGTTGTTGTTGACGAAATCCTGTTTGTTCAACCTTAACTCACGTTTGATATCTTCACGAATACTGTAGAAGTTCGGGATCACTGTTGTTTCTGGCTCATAGCTGTAATATTGTATAATTCGATGTTATACCTACTATCGGGCGAGGTTAAAGTTAAGGACTTACCGCTTGTAGTTTTGGTTGTTATCTAAAGCAATTGGAATCTGTGAATATGGGAGATCCTTTTGCGTTCTATACGTGGTCATACTGTCCGTGGAACGAGACCCGATGTGATCTGAAAGATTTAAAAGAAAAAATATGGTAAATGGCCATGTTACTTACATACTGGGTAGTATTTAGATCAGAAAGCGACTTATGCTTGTTATGTAGTGTACGTTTCTCAAAACAATTTCTTTTACCACTCTAAACATCAGTAATAGACACTGTAGTTCTATTCACAAAAAGCACAGCAAAACTCACTGAATTTCTAAATATTTCCTCCAGAATAATGGGACTACGGATCTCAATAATTGTTCCAAAAATTTTCCGCACATTTGGCGATTATTTTCAAATTTTCAAATTCACCAAGTTGAATTTACACCTACTAATTTGATCCTTTAAGGAATGCTTTATAAATTTGAGAAGACATTCAGAGGTCAAGCAAATGCACATATTTCTTTAGTGAACTCAAATTCAGGTAAAGTTAGTTGAGTACGATAAGAAAGCAACAGCAACAGCTGAAATCGATTCAGAGCCAATGTGGCCGACCAAGATGAGCGCTTTTTCTGTAGCAATAAAGAGTTCTCGTAGTTGTTGAATAATGAAGACCGATATGGCCAGTAGAGAGTACGGTAATGGTAAAAATGGCGTCGTTTCAACATCGTTACGAAACATTTGCTATCAGCGCGAATAAAAGAAAAAAGAGCGCTTAAAATCGGCAGTTTTCAGCTCCTTTCGTTGAGATTTTGTCTGTTGAAATGCTGCTGGCATTTCACGCTCCCGTTCAGATATCGTAACTTTGCAGTACCTGCTCCTTTACCCATTGTTTTCTTAGCAACTGGCTGAATATTCTTCTTACTCCACTGCCAACCTTGTACTAGGACGGACTGCCGTTTTGGAACAAAGATTGGCGCATCTGGTGGAGAGAACAAATGATTGCAGACCTATAAGAACATATGGACAAAGAGCGCAAACTGCTAATCGATTCTCTAAAATAATGTTTCATTTATGATATTGTCAGACAGAGGAAAGTGTGGATAACTCACACAAAATTTATCTGTTACTCCAACTTATCTTACTCTCACCATTTCTCAACTGAAAGAATGTTCAAATACAAATATGAAAGTCTCCTAGGTATCAGCAATGTATGCTAAACATTTGCTTTGAGGGGCTAATTGAGTAGTAATTGTTAGTGAGTATAGACGCGTTTAGTCCTTCTGTTCAGTACCAAATTCGTTCTTAGTTGTTAACTTCCTAGCAAAATATGATATGCAAAAACACTCACTGATGTTGGTGGGCGGTGCGGTATCGGAGAGGTTAGGCTGGCGCCCATTATTTCGCCGATAGCGCTAAATAACAATGGAATTTGGGGAGAATTCGGATTAAATAAACTCACATCTCTACAGCAGAAGACAGTTTACATGCAAACCGATTCCCGATTCACCGGCTGCTCTTCTCTGTTACAACATATAGATCATGTAGAGTGTCCAGTCGTGCAAAAGTTTTTGCCTAGAAAACATTATTTAGACACTCTAAATTGCCACCTTAACAAGAATTTCACGAAGGGGAATCATTAAGAGTGCAAGAAGTCACAACTAGGTTTTACATGTTATGAACTCGAGATATAATTGCGATTCGAATTTTAAAAGAACGACTCCTTATATGGAACATAACAATTAGCTGTTAGTACGCTCTAATGATATATGATCACTTCTTTGATACTTGACAATATGAGAATGAGACCTACCTTGTAGTGCTTCATTCAACTTTGGTCAGCACACC